TCATAAATATCAATGAACAGATTCACACAACCAATACAAATAAATTAATCATGTTGTTAGTCTAGTGTTTTATGTAATTTTTAGTCTTAAATACACATTACGAATACAATAACTTATTATCTTCGAATAATGTTTTTGTAATCTCCTCTCCCACGTTAAACGAGAAATTGTCAAGATATTTTTTTCACCCAAAGAAAACAAAAACAAGTGTCTACATTAAACACAACTGATAAATTTGATTTGTTTTCAAACATTAGAAACAAAATAGACTTAGAAAATAATTAACTGCTGTTTTAAACTAAAACCTTAGTTAGTACATAATAATAAATTCGTTTACAATAGAATAAAAAAACAACTGTTTTCTTCACACAAAAATGTTTTTTTTTCTATAAGAAATAAAAAAACGACAAATAGAAATAGGGTGTGATAAAAAAATATTTCTGTAACTTCCTTTGCTACTACTACTATTACTACCACTACTACTACTACTACTACTACTACTACTACTGTGGTGCGCGCTACTTATAAGTAGTATATGACGTGAGTGAAAACTTAATGTCTGGCAGCAGAAGATGGGGGAAGATCAAGAGAAAGGAAGAAGAGTGGGAACACAATGGAATTTGTATGAAATAGCATGAATAGTGAGTGAAATGTCAGACAATGGATTGATGATGGATTGAAGATTTGCAAATTGACGGTTACGATATGGTTTTCCTATTTTACTGAGTAACTCTGTAATTTTCGTTAAATACAATTCGGTTGCCCTCACCTGTGTTCTCCTTCACTACACTACGACTACTACTACTACTACTACTGTAGTGAACGAGAACACAGGTGGGGCAACCGAATTGTATTTAGCGAAAATTACAGAGTTACTAAGTAAAATCGGAAAACCATATCGTAAACGGTTAATTTGCAAAATATCAGTTCATCATATGGAACTGGACTGTCTGCTCCTGCTGCAAAACATCAATCCATTGTCAGTATTCATACGTTTCATACAAATTCCATTGTGTTCTAACTCATGCTTTCTTGATCTTCCTCCATCTTCTGCTGCCAGACATTACGTTGACACTCACGTCATATACTACTTATAAGTACCTCACACCACACTACTACTACGACTACTACCAATATTTATTCATTGCACAACCCAGTCGATCACAAAAATTCCTTTAGGGAAGAAAAACAAAAAAAATGCCTTTCAGCATTTTTTTTCACGCTTTTTCACATGATAATATAATTAACAATAACTATTTTTTTTTAAAATTATTTACGAATCATTTCGATACATTAAAATAATTTTTATAATTAAATTAAGAAAATTTTTTTAATTTCACACGAAATTAATTTATCTTTCTTTCTGTTTCACAAATATCTATGTACAGTATATATTCCTTATCCTCCTCCTCCTAAATAAGAAATGAACTATTTTCCATTTGAACCAACCAATGTTGTATGTATATATATATTAAAACAAAGTTGACTAGTTTTCATTAAAACAAAACCAATCACCATCATCATCAACATCATCATTGAACATTGAAAACTTGGGGCAAGAAGAATTAAACAAAAATAATTTTTTTATCTAGACGTTTTGTTATATAGACACAGTTGAAAAAAAATGAGATTTGAACTAAGTTACTAAGTTGCTATTATGAAAATGTTATGGTATAATATGTGTGAGAAAGGAGACTGTGATTAGGTGGTTATTTTTGAAAAAAAAAATATATATATATATCAACAAAATTATTTTGGAACATTGAAAGCGCGCCAATATATTATCAGTAGTAGTATAATAGACAATTGATAAAAAAAAATAAACACAATTCATATATATATGAAAAAAATATATTATTGGTAATAATTGTGGTGTGTGCTACTTATACGAACGATATAAGTGGTAGTATAAGAAGAGACGTGAAAGAAGAAGAACTCTCACGGTCACAAGAGGAAAACGGAAAGCAAATGGAACAAAAGCAAGAAGTAAATAGAGTACCAACAGGAAGGAAAGGAAGCAACAGCAGGAATGGAAGAAGGCTGGAGCGTTGGAAGTCAGGACTCAAAGATGGTGTGCAAATAGAGTGTTCAATGTAATGTTTTCATTTTTAATTGACTGAGAGTGTAAATTTGTTGATACATGTTGCATCACGTCAATTTGCCACATAAAGAGTTAAAATTATCAAGACAAATCCCAGAGTGGGATAGAATTAGCAACAATGGGAAAAATCAGGTATGGACAATGTGTAATATTTCGTACTTCCATGATGAACTGAAAGAAGGTAAACAGAGAATACATCTGTATGTACTGTTACAAACGATTCCGAGCAACAACATTCAATCATCTCTAACCATTGGTTATGTATGATAGTCGCGCGGACCACAAACATAAAGTCTCTACTAACGATATGTTTTGACTTGGCTTTCCCTCCTAACTTTCTTTCAGTCTAGTCAGTCTTGAACTAAATAATTTAACCTGTCGAGGTAGGTAGGTGGTAGTTGGGCAAATGTAATACGTTCTCCTCAACCACCGCGGTTGATGAAGACCTGTTACTTTATCAACCAATTTACCAACTCTACCCAGTACTATATGTGTCACTTCAGCATTGCGCATATAGTAATCCAAAGATACGCAAGCAGTGGTTAGAAGACATCTATACTCAACTGCCAGTAACGTATGAATATCCCCATCTTAATGGTTACATTTCATATTCATAAAGTAGAACATAACAAACTGTTGCGCAGTAAACTTATCCTTTGCCTTGTGGACAGACATCTCGCCTACGCCACAAATCGAAATGATTGAGATTTTTGAAAGTAATCCTAAAATTTCCGATTACTGCTATTACTTCTACTATCTCTACTACTATGGGATTTGAAGTAACAAATGCATCTTTGTGCTAATATTGTATGGTGACTTGAACTGATGCACGTACGTACGTTTATCAAGATAAACTATGTACAATCTGAATGCCAGAATAGTTAGTTCATAAGGTCTATTAGATATGCTCTGTGGACTGGTAAAAACTAGCAGTGAAGAATGTTGGATGAATCAACCTAATATTATAGATCATAAATGATAAAGGAAAAGCATGAAATCTTTATTTTTTTTTTTTAATGAAACATTTGATTGGCATGTTTCTTTTTGATCATTCTCATTTACTGGACCATTTATTTCACTTGAAGTAATTGTGATATTTGATATTTTACCAATTCTCTCTCTCTCTCTCGTGTATATATCTTGTACTTGTACACAAAATACTTGACTTAAGAATCTTTTTCTATCGTTCTTATCAAGTATCCTTTCTTCATCCATTTCTTAAAAGAACTTACCTAAAAATTAATCGACTGGAATTTTAAATCTATAACTTGTTTCAGATAGTTCAGTGATTTAGCCGATGTATACTAAAACAATTTATTTAAAGACTGTTATACTAAACAACTTTAGTCATAACCTACATTGTAAGGGTATTTTTATTTGAAATCATCAATCAATCATTGTTAGACCAACATTAGATACCCACAAGCACTGGACGGCCGTTTCGTTCTGGTATGGGAGTCCTCAGTGGCAATGAGCATCCACGACTCCTGCTCCTCACAGTATTCGAACCCGCGGCCTTCGGCATTATAGGCGAACGCCTTACCATCGAAATCACTGGGCCGGCATCTAACGGTATTAATGTCTAACTCTGATTGATCCAGGGATTTTGCGCCACCTCACCCATTTGTCTTTGGTAGTTGTTACTGCCTACACCTGACATGGTTGAACTCCATTGGTCACGTCTTCTCAACTAGAACTTCAAATGTGTAAAAACACAAAAACCTCCAAAACTCTGCCCCTAAAATATCGTAACAGTGCTCACTAGTGACTAGCTTCGTAAGGAGGAAATTCTCGGAGTTTGTCGATATGAATAATTTTTTTACAGATGACAAAAAGTACACTTGCGGTGTGAGCTACTCATAAGTAGCATATGACGTGAATGTCAACGTATTGCATGGCAGCAGAAGATGGGGGGAAGATCAAGAGAAAGGAAGAGTGGGAAAACAATGGAATTTGTATGAAACGCATGAATAGTGACAATCGATTGATGTTTTGCAACAGGAACAGTCCAGTTCGATATGATGAACTGATATTTTGCAAATGAACAATTTGCGATATGGTTTTCCGATTTTACTGAGTAATTCTGTAATTTTCGTTAAATACAATTCGGTTGCCCTCACCTGTGTTCTCCTTCACTACACACTCAGCTTTAAAACGGTATTCTATTCATTAAACTCTACATGTATTCTATGAAAAGTGACTTTTGTCATGAATACTAAATATTTGTATTGATGTGAGAATATATATATCTATCAACCGAACAAATACACACTTTATTGACGAAGTAAACATCACAGACACTAGATTCACTAAAGACTATGCTCATTGAATTACAATTTTGACTATGAGATGAATTTACAAAAAAACCCAAATTATTCTTTCGTCAAATAATAAAAATGAATCTAATTCGGTTAAAGAACATAACAGACATATGAAATCATCAATCAATCATTGTTACTAGACCACCATTAGAAACCTGGAAGCACTGTTTAGACGGCCGTTTCGTCCTAGTATGGGACTCCTCAGTGGCAGTGCGCAACCACGACTCATGCTCCTCACAGAATTCGAACCCGGGACCTTCAGCATTGTAGGCGAACGCCTACGGTGTTAATGTCTAACTCTGATTGATTACAATACCAAAGGTCCCGGGTTCGAATCCTACGAGGAGCAGGAGTCGTGGATGCGCACTGCCACTGATGAGTAGTCCCATACTAGGACGAAACGGCCGTCTTTCAGTGCTTCCAGGTTTCTAATGGTGGTCTAATAACAATGATTGATTGATTGATGATTTCAAATGTGTAAAAAAGGCAAACCTCCAAAAATGTGCCCCAAAATAACATAACAGACAGTTGAAAAACAAAAATATATATATATATATATATATATATATATAACTTACCAGTACAATTCGGTGAATAACAACTTCTTGTATGTGCAGTAATTGAACAGTTGACATCATTCTGTACTATTCTATACTCTGAACATAACTGTGGTAAATGTGTAAGGCACTGTTGAGTGGATTGGTGTAAATTTTTATTCGTTGTTAAATTTATTCTTGAATAAAATTGTTGATCATTCATGTTGATGATTGTCGGGTGATTATTAATACGATTTGTATTATTGTTCATCAAATGTTCCATGTTTTTTGTAGTATGGACATTTTCAAAATGAATCTTATTTTTATCTGTACTACTACTAGTACTACTACTACTACAATGACCATATGAATTCGCTTGATAATTTTGTGAAAATCTACGTGTAGAAGAAGATAATTTTAATGTGGATTTTTTATTATGTCGTTTATACACAATAGAATTTGATTTTATTATTTCTTTTGCACATTGATTATTTTCACTGGAATCTGATTGTTCTTCAGGAATGAATAAATTTTCATGTTCATGTAATGGTGCAGAACCTGGTCTGTAAATATACGATTTTTTAATGAATGATGAATCTAAATAAGCAGTATAAGATACAGTTCTAGGACGATGACGATGATGACGATGATGACAACTTGTATATTGTGATTGATGTGTAAGAGAAGTAATTGGCTGTTTATTGGTATTTTCATTGGAATGCTCTTCTAAACTATGTCGATCATGATGTGTATTTATTAAAAATGATGAATTTGATGAATTATGAAAATCTCTTTGATCTTCATTATCTCCTTGATTAGGGATTGGACGAAATAGATGGTTGGAAGGATTCCTTTCATGTATACAAGTAGAATATGATGATTTTGATGAAGAGGGACTATTGAAATTTTCTGGTGATTTATATATTTTATCATTAGTATCATTTGGAGATTGTATTTGGTTTGCATTTTGGTTTACTGAATCCAATCCAAGAGAATAAAATGGTGAAAAGTCCGAAGGAGGAATAGTTTCCGGATATGAATATGTCATATCTACAGTGCTTTGTGATACAGGTTTACATGGTTCATATGTATCAGTATACTTGTTCGCGCAATTCCATGGAGTGGACCAAGTTGGTGAATTCCTCATCATATCACTTATACTTGTAATAAACATTCTATCAGATAGTTCTTCATTCAATTCACTAGCACATGGTAAATTACTTAAACATGAACTTGAATTAGTAGTAAGATTGTTGGAGTTTACATCTGATTCGTTTAGATTTGTAGTTGGTCTCCAAGAAAAATTAACTTGATCAGATTGATTCAGCATAAAAATACTATTATCAGATGTAATCAAATTTGATGGAGATTTAGTTTTAGAATCACTTCTTCCAGTCCAACTAGAAAATCCACTATCTGTATTAACACAAACTTGATTAATAGAAGATTCACAATTTTTCCAAAGACAAGATGGAGTAGTTACTGTTGTTCGACCAATAGGAGGTGAATCTCTATAGGAACTTGATGTTGTCGGTTCACCAAATAAATCTTGACTAGGTGATATTGGTAGCTCTAATGTATGTAATAGATCCGATTCAGTAGTATGATCTTCAAAACTACTACAAAATGATTTCAACTGTTCAGTAGAATCTTTTGAAATACTACAAGTTTCAGGTGGATCCAATTTATTATCGTTCATTAGGGTAGGAGTGTCTTATGCACGAAATGGCCAAATCGAAAACACGTGTAGTGACGAGTTATTTCCTCGAATGTCATGTCAACTTTTTGTTAGCGAATCATAAAGCAGCGTCTGATTAGACTACTTTGAATTGACCAATCAAACTTCTATATATTTTTAGTAATACGATTGGCCAATTAATAGCTAGACAGAATAGCCTTTTCAAAAAAGCATCTTATTTTATTCGACCAATGAAATTAAAATAGACTGGATATATCCAGGGTAGTAAATTTTAATTACGTATCACGTGACAATTTAGTGGCCACAGCTATTCACTAGATTGCATTACTTAGATCTGTAAGGACACGCGACAATAATCGTCACACTTCATGAAATAAATTGGTTGTACACTAATGTATAAATGGTTCATTTATTTTGTAATGATATTTTCACCGAAATTACTTCCTGAAATTGTAATTATCATTACATTTGATTCTAAATATCGCCGTATTAATTAAATTCGTATTATCTATATGATAGTTTATTAAACATGAATGAATTCTCTCCCAATTTCGTCTATAATTTCTTCTGACCATATTTTATGCATGAAATTACAACACAACAATATTTTACTTACTTACACCTGTTACTTCCAATTGAGCATCCAGGTAGTCTACCAACATGACTCAGTCCACTTGTCAGTGACTTCATGGATTTCTGCCATGTTTTGGTTTGGCCGCCCCTAACTTTCTTCCAACCTACTCCTACACCACAAAACATAGCTCGTCGAGGCAGTCGGTGGTTAGGCATACGTAACACATGTCCCAACCACCTCAACTAATGAAGTTTCAATACTTCATCTATTGATCTGCCATCCCTACCTAGTACTCGTTTCCTAACGACAGCATTGCTTGCTCGGTTGTCCCACGATATACGAGCAATGCTTCTTAAACACCTATGATCGAATACTAGTAACCTACGAACATCTTCTACTCTAAGCGGCCATGTTTCACAGCCATATAGGAGAACGGAGCGAACTGCTAAGCAGTACACCTGTCCTTTGGTTAGCGAACGGATATATCAAACTATAAGAAAACAGATACTTAGTTCTTTTTGCTTTTTGGTAATTAACCTAGTTGACAGTGAGTGATTCCCTATTGAAATTAACTTTCATCACATTTGAGAATGTTCAACAAACTGACTAAATGTTATACTGATGAAAGAAAGAAACAGATATTTCGTCCTGAAATATAGGATCCCTTTGTATTTCATATTCATAATCCTATTAGGAATAAGACATTGGATTTCTAGGTTCGGTTGTGGTGCGCGCTACTTATAAGTAGTATATGACGCGAGCAAAAACGTAATGTTTGGCACCAGAAGATGGGGGAAGATCAAGAGAAAGGAAGAATGGGAACACAATGGGGTTTGTATGAAACGCATGAATAGTGAAATGTCAGACAAAGAATGGATTGATGTTGTGCAACAGGAACAGTCCAGTTCGATTTGATGGACTGATATTTTGCAAATTACGCGTTTACGATATGGTTTTCCTATTTTACTGAGTAACTCTGTAATTTGCGATAAATACAATTCGGTTGCCCTCACCTGTGTTCTCCTTCACTACACGGTAACAAAGTCTTGACCATTAACAACGTTGAGTTGATACTCAAAGTTATACACTTCTATCAATAATTAATCCACACTATAACGTAATTATTAGTGAATCTTATTGTTTTTCGATAATCCAATAAAACTGATGTCGCTAATGATACTGTCTGATCGTAATGTTGTACTACTGGATATCGGCCTGAGTGATTATCATAGTTAAGTGTTCCCTACAAGTACTGCCGACGATTCCTCATCATATCATGTTTGCAATTGATTTTGCTTATTTCTATTAACTATTTCAGTCTTTGTTAGATTTTAAAAAAAATATTCAGATTACACATCAAAATGAGTTTTCAAGTCAATTACAAAAATCAACCTGAATCCATTTTTTTTCGTTTACAAACTGCTTATTATCAATAAAAATAATTTATAAAGTATGTTAAATATAAATATTTTTGAAACCATGAATTGATCAATGTTAGACCACCATTAGAAACCTGGAAGCATTGGATGGCCATTTCGTTCTGGTATGGGACTCCTCAGCATGGTTTCAAAAATGTCTAACATAACAATCTTCACAACCCCGTAATGCAAATTACCTGTGCTCACTAGTGACTAGCTTCGTGAGGAATCTTCTCCGAGTTCTAGTGGGAAGACGTGACCAGTGAAGTTCAACCTGTTCGGGTGTAGGCAGTGTCTACCGAAGACTGTGTATGAGGTTGCGCAACTCTGTGAATTGATCAAGTTAGACATTAACACCGTTAGATACCGGCTGAGTAGTCCGATGGTTAGGCGTTGGTGCACAATACCGAAGGTCCTGGGTTCGAGTTTGGTGGGGTTCAGGAGTCGTGGATGCGCACTATTGAGGAGTCCCATACCAGGACTTGACGGCCGTCTTTCAGTGCTTCCAGGTTACTAATGGTGGTCTAACATTGATCGATTCATGGTTTCGAAAATGTGTAACTTAACAATCTTCACAACAACCCCGTAATGCAAATATAAATATACAGTTCATTTCACGGGTTGGCATTCATTAACTCACTAGTTATTATTGACTTCAGGATGATTGACTAATATATTCTATTCAAAATTCATAAACTGTAAGATTCAGCTGTGTGAATCCGATAATAATCGAGTATGAAATTATAAATCTGACGCGCTAGATCTGAACTTGATAGTCTAAAGACATAACGTGGTTGGCACAATACCTAGATCCTTAATGATTTCAATCACTACTGAATAAGATTGTAAATGTACACCATTGATGAATCTCATATTAGGAGAAAATAACTGTTTAATCCATCTTAAGTATTCATTGACTGTCTAATTTCAAGCATCTTATGATGTGAACTCACGTTTTACTCAATAATAATCATCTTACTAAATGAGTTACTTCATTATGCTTCTCATGTTCTAATGAGATGTTGTGATTAGTGTAGTTTAGATATATAAAAATAGTGAAATATTTGTGACCATTCACAATTTCTGATCATCTTAAATGAATTGAAACTGCAAAATCGTACACGAAAGACAGCTAAGAGACTCTTTCGAGGTGAACACTGGTGTCAGGCAAGGTTGCTTACTCTAACCCTTTCTCTTTCTCCCAGTGATCGACTGGATTATTAAGACGTCTACATCTGGAGGGAAGCAGTTAGGACACAGCTGGATGATCTGGACTTCGTAGATCACCTGGATCTTCTATCTCACACGCAACAACAAATGGAAGAGAAGACAACCAGTGTAGCAGCAGCCTCAGCAGCTGCAGGTCTCAACATGCATAAAAGGAAAAGTAAGATTCTTTGATACAACACAACATGCACCAACCAAATCAGTCTTGGAGATAGATGCCTTGGAGGACATTAACACCTTTACATATCTTGACAGCATCATCGACGAGAAAGGTGAATCCGATGCAGATGTGAGGGCACGGATTGGCAAACAAGGACAGAGTTTCTACAATTGAAAAATATCTGGGACTGCAAACAACTTTCAACCAAAAACCAAAATCAGCATTTTCAATACAAATGTGAAGACAGTTCTAATGTAGGGGGGCGGAAACTTGGAGAACTACGAAAGCCATCATCCAGAAGATACAAGTGTTTATTAACAGTTGTCTACGCATAATACTTCGTATTCGTTGACCAGACACTATCAGCAACAACATGCTGTGGGAGAGAACAAACCAGATTGCAGTGGAGGAGGAAATCAGGAAGAAGCGGTGGAAGTGGATAGGACACACATTGAAGAAAGCACTGAACTGCTTCACGTGACAAGCCCTCACTTTGGAACCCTCAAGGTAAAAGGAAAAGAGGAAAGCCAAAGAACACATTACTCCGAGAAATAGAGAAGGATATGAGAGGAATGAACAAACATTGGACAGAACTGGAAAGGGAATCCCAGGACAGAGTTGGTTGGAGAATGCTGCTGGTGGGCGGCCTATGCTCGATTGGGTGTAACAGGCGTATGTAAATAAGTAAGTAAGTAAGTGAACTGAACTTCAAATGAACATTAACCTGGTGCCTCCTTTTTTTTGTTTTTAAATAGTCGTCAAACTTGAAATTTCAAAGTCTAATCCTTGGTGAAGTCATTAATAGGCACTAATGAATACTCCAATATTTCCTTATTGATCTGTAATGGAACGCTTCTACGAAGAAACTACGATTTTTAAAAGAAAATAAACATTATTGTACATGTTTTGTTTAAAACTGTACCAAAAAAGTCACTTCTCGCGCGCCATGTTCTTTTCGCGTTGCTGCCGTTTTTCTAAATGCTCTGCTCCCTATATAATGCCTATTCGCTCCTTTAATAAATCCTTGAAACATGGATTTATTTTGATATGTACATGACGGAACTGTATGGAATATTTAGTTGGTGATCATAGTCAATCTGGTATCTCTCACCACTAAAGATCTTCCTTCTTTCATGAAATCTTAAATGAGATCAATGCGGCGTTAACGAATACAATGAATATGAAAAATAATACTGATCAGTATCATTTCATGTTTTTTGAGATGGTGAAGTAAACATTTTTAGCTCAAATGGATGTTTGTTCTCTCAGCTTAATGTTTTGATTGTGGAGCTTCTTTCATTGATCTGTAGTGAAGGACAACACAGGTGAGGGCAACCGAATTATATTTATCGTAAATTACAGAGTTACTCAGTAAAATAGGAAAACCATATCGTAAACGGTTAATTTGCAAATCTTCAATCCATCATCAATCCATGGTCTGACATTTCACTCACTATTCATGTGTTTCATACAAACCCCATTGTGTTCCCACTCTTCTTACTTTTGCTTGATCTTCCCCCATCTTCTGCTGCCAGACATTGCGTTTTTTACTCGCGTCACATACTACTTATAAGTAGCGCGCACCACAGTTCTTCTACTGAACACAACATCATCAGTAATATAGATTTCATGTCTATGCTGAAGTTTTGTGCTG